GTAAACAACCAGAACTGTCAAATGCCTATTTCAAAATTTTAGACAGCTGATCCAAAAAAATTAAAACAACTATGTTTTATAGTAGGTTTATTTAATTTTAAACTTTATGATGGCTTATTTATTATAAATCTATTTCAATGATTATGAAACAGATTTTTCCCGTTGCGAAGGAAAAATTAATAGTGAGAAGAACATATGTTAACTGTAAACAGTCAATGTGTAAATTATCCATGTTGTATTAAAAATGTGTATAGTTTTGGATGTTGTTTTGTGTTTAATGATACAAGTTATTAGTTATTAAATTCTTATTTTAAGGATTTGGTATATGAGTAAGCCTATGATAAATAACCACCATTTCAGAGTTCTGCCAGTTTTTGCCTAACTCTGTCCTGTAGAATTTAAAGTAGCCTACACCTTATTGTCTACAAATTGGCTAAATAGCTTAGGTACGGTACTTTATAAAAGCTGACAGCCTTTTTACGTTGAATTAAATTGTAAGCTTACCTTTTCCCGTCCATGGACAGTTTGGTTGTTAAAAATTAACCCTTTAAACTGGAATAGGACTGTTATGAAAATTGTGAGTATTTCCATTAGTTAATAATGTTAAAATCATCGGAAATTATGACTGTTATTCGTTTTTAAACAAGTTATTGTTTATCGATAACTCCTGTACTTCTTTGCAATTGCTCGATTTCGAGCAACATGTACACTAGTTGTATTTTAAACAACACACATTTATTGGGAGTTACTGAATTCTACCAAATAAGTATTTGCAATGTTATTTTCTGATTTTAAAATTGATTTTCTTCTTTATCATGTCATGTTTTGCAATATAACGTTCCGCTATCTTGGATTCACCATATTGGACATAGATAATTTGTTTCAATGTAATGATAGTGTTGTGACACATTATCACAAACTACATTTTTGCACTGATTTCAATGCCAAAATCCGTGTTTCAATATCTTTTTTCATTTAGAAGATATACTCAAACAAAAACTTTCCCCTATACATTCCTTAAGGACGTTTTGTACTTTGATAATTTTTGAAAAATATTTTTCTTATATCTCCAGTTCTTATAAACGCTTGCAGTTTGTTTTAGGCTTAAAATATTCAGTAATGTAAGGGCTTTCATTTGAGCTCTTGAGCATTAAAATCAGACGAGTTAAAGACCAGCTACAAATCCTAACGCAATATTAAATTTAACTTTTAAGAAATTAGTTTTTATTAAAAGATTTATATCTCGGGTTGTTAAGGTGTCACCAAGTTATTTATGGTCTTTAATGACTCAGCAAATGTTTGGCTTATATTTTATTAATCACTAAATAAAATCTAACAAATCTGAAGTGAGTTGTGGACCTTCATTTAACATTAAATTATTTTTATTATAAATTTGTCTTTGTTTTAAGACATATATCCCCAATTATATATAACTACCAAGTAATCTTTAGCTAAAATAAAAGTCAATAATTTTGGAAAATCTTTAAGACTATAAGAGTTTTGGGAGTTATTTAGAATTAGTTATATACGTCTTTAACTAAAGACAAATTTCGAAATAAATACATTTTAATGTTAAATTAAGGTCCATGACTCATTTTAAATTGTCATATTTTGGTTTAATAAAATCAAAGCCAAACACCCACTGAGTAATTTGAGACCAGAAAGAACTTGGTGACGTATTAACAACCCGAGTTATAAATCTTTTAATAAAAATATATTTATAAAAAGTTAAATTAATATTGTTCTGAGGTTCGTAGCTGGTCTTTAACTAATTTTAATGCTCAAGGGTTCAAATGAAAGTCCTTACATTACGGAATATTTTAAGCCTAGAACGAACTGCAAGCGTTAATAAGAACTGGAGATATAAGAAAAATAATTTTTAAAAAATGATCAAACTACGAAACGTCAATAAGAAATGTATGGGGGAGAGTTTTCGTTTGAGTATATCTTCTAAATGAAAAAGGATATTGAAAAACGGATTTCGGCATTGAAATCAGTGTAAAAATGTAGTTTGTAATGATGTGTCACCACAACACTATCATTACATTGAAAAAAGTATCTATGTCCAATATGGCGGATCCAAGATGGCGGCCAAAAACGTGTTCCCTATCAAAATGAAGAACTAACCACCTAATTAATACAGGTGGTGGTCCCAAGTCAATATCTCGAAAAATGTGCATAACAAATGCATGTGAATTTTTTTTTTATTTGTCCAATGTATCTAAATATCTTGGTGTACTGGACCGCACACTGACATTAAGGCGCATTGTATTGCGACTAGAGGTAAAGGCTATTATTATTAGGCTATATAATTTGAACAGACTTAACTTATCTTATCATTAAGATCTCAGACGTTGGCTGAAAAAGTTTTGCAATTGTAGATTTCACAATAACTCAACATTAGTAAAAACGGCTATAACGCCTATATTTTATTATTAAAATCCGCAATTATTATAGCCTAAAAATCCTAAATAATTACATCCTCATCTATAAGTATAAAAGAGGATGTTTGTATATATATGTATATATTTGGCAGTGATAAACTCAGACACTGCTGAACCGATTGCCACATACGTGTAGAATTTCATGGAATAGGTTTATACACCATCAATTTCGTGATCCGTCCAATGGCTCCGCCCCAGTGGCTCTGGAGTTTCCCATGTTAACCTTATGAGAAATGGAATTAATGAATCTTAACAGCTGTTTCAATTAAACAAGTTGGTTCTGTTCTGATGTTCAATAGCATTAAAGTTACAAGGATTACCAACTGGGTGCAGCACTATTATTTCTTTTCTTTTACATTTATGACAACAGCTAATTTGCAACCAAAAGGTGAGTGAGCATAGCGAACGAACTTCAACCTGGAGGCGAGTTAGCGTAGTGAACGAGCTAACCTGAAGGCAAGTGAGCGTAGCGAACGAGCTAACCTGAAGGCAAGTGAGCGCAGCGAACGAGCTCCAAACCTAAAGGTGAGTGAGCGTAGCGAACGAGCTCCAACCCAAAGGTGAGTGAGCGTAGCGAACGAACTTCAACCAGGACGTGATTGAGCCATGCGAACGAGATCATCTTGAAAATTAAGAAGTTAAACGGGGCAAAGCCCGCGGGTTACAGCTCGTATATTTCTCTGACTATAAGCCAATCATCGGTCTCAGGTCAGAAACACGACCCTCGGCTTTTCATCCAATCTCAAAAGGCAAAGAGAATACGCAGCAAATGCGCATCAAGTGAGGTGTTGTTTTTAGTCACCAAAATTCACTGCGAGAGTCAACTGATAGAAAGATTTTTTTGTCAAATATTGTGGCATATTTTAAAAAAAGTGAGTGTCATTAAATGTATAGCTTATCTTAATATTCTCAACCAAAGCCAATTTTGTCTCTAACTTTAATACACCTAAAATTAATAATAAATATACGAACTACAGTCGATAACTAGCTTAACTGCTAGCGCTATATTTGTCAGCGGCGAATACACAAACTACTTGGGCAGTTACCTCTCAGGGCTACAGAAGCGCTAGCTGTTTCGTTCGTTACTTGCTCGTTCGTTTTGTTAGTTAAGATAAAAATACTATGAGACTATGATGTAAAATAAAATTGTTGATGTTATCACTGGAATAATGCCAGATATGCTGCGTAGAGTTTTTGAAAACTTCATTGAACGGCTGAATATGTGCATCGCTCGTGAAGGTCTTCACCTGGACGATATCATTTTTAAAACTTAATGAAAAATAAATGGCATTGTATTTAGATTTCAGAAATAAAAAGCTTTTGTAATAATCTTGTATGGTTTTTATACAGTTAACCGATCAAATCAGGGAGTCCACTCTGCCCCACCCTGTACCTTCGTGACCTGGCAAGACGTGATCGGGAAAATTTGATTATCTTCATTGGCAGTATTAATTCCATTCCCTTATTTGTCCATTACCCATATAATAGATTTATTCAACATTGGACTTCTACACCAACCCTTGATAAAAAAATAAAGCTTTATATTCTAGTTTTATATTTTTGTTCATATTCACGTTACCGGGAATTACATACTGTACCTAAATAAAATTCTAAGATTTTTTCATGTCAACATACATCTGTTTACTCATCAAATTTTGTTGTTGTCACTATTAATTAATTGATTACCATGTTAAAGTCTTAGGTTTTTTTATGCTTCGCTTTCCACCATGATGCTTCGCTATAATTACATGTACGAGAACCTGGAGCGGGGAAATTTAATTGATAAGTTTTTTGGGCCGTCTGCTGCCCATACACCATGCATCTCCCAGATAGCAAGACATCTGCTCATATAACAACTAACAAGATATTCTTTCTGATAACAAGACATTCCATTATATAACACGTAAGAGGTGGCCGTGGTATACCTGTACAGTATTTTGTGCTGGTTTTAATTTTTTTCAATATAGCACAATACATTTATTCCCTCCAAAAAAGAGTCAAAGACGAAGGTAAATGATAATGTAATGATTTAAAAATTATCATTTTAAATTGTACATGCCAGGCAAAATAAGGCCAAGCTGTTGGAAGGGGAGGTACCATTGCCAAATTTAGTGTACTTGACTTTTTTGAATCACTATACACTTTACAGAATATTTGTACAAAACCTTTCTGTACCTGGGCAAAATTTTACTATAATGTAATAGCATAGATAAAACATGGTAATAGTTACCAAGATTATTCTTAGTTTATAGTTAAAGGGTATTTTATTAGGCCTATCAAAATATTAACTAACACTAACATATTATTATCGTTAGTGTAATGCTAGAATGGTTTTTGGTTTGGTACTTACTCCACCCTTGTGTATAACTTGGCACAATCTGACATAATTTTGTTTGCAGTATATTTTTGATGGAGATTACAAAAATGTTTGTACTTTTATTACTAGTTTTTATAGTTTACCTCATTCTGTATTGTATTGTATTGCAGTAATTCCCATTTGTGTATCATACAACTATTCAGAGGGGTGGAACGCAATAACAGATTATGTATGGGGAATGTTTTTATTCATATAACAATTTTTGAACAAAAATACAAAACCCCCGATTTTTAAAACTTACTGTTACTAACTAACAACATTTCAATTATCACAATAAATACAGTCAAAATTCCAACTCCAACTAACCTCCGTAATGCATTTCTAGGCGTATTCACACCAACACTACAAACGTATTGATTTCATCTATGTCATGCATAATATTACAAAAGAAATAAAGCAGTGTTTAAAAGCATATTGTTTAGCAAGTATAAATTAGGGTATATAATTCAATAAATCTGGATTAACAATAAAGTCATATCTAAAAATATATAAAGAGTGTAAAAATAGACTTAGTGAATCAGTGTTACTAATTTTCCATTTAAAGTGCTATTTAAAATATACATCATAACAATACAAGCATTCCTACATTATTTAATGTCACTATAAAATTATATTTTATCTACAGTGTGACTTTTCACAAAAACATGTTAGTTATGATTTCAACAATTACCCTCTCTACTACGTCCTTACTATCTTTTACAATCCATTGCGAAGGAGATTTTTTAACAGCATTACTCACAATAACAATCCTGAGATTAACATTCCTTTTATCATTGATCTAAAGTAAACCAACTTAATCAAAACAAAAAAACAGTTTAAATGCCAGGAATTTTATGAAAATTTCTTCAATGTGAGATTTTTTACTTTTACAATTTAACAATGTTATCAGATATAAAGTATGTAATTTTTGGGGCACACACAGTTTTTGGCTTATCAGGCTAGTTGAAAAACTAAATTTTAGGCGATCCATTATCAATTCTAGTTTTTTTTTTCTCCCAAATAAAAACTATGAAAGCCAAGTTAGTATTAGAGGCACTGTAGTTCTTTTATGTAAACGAGCCTTGTCCTCAATAATTTATACAATATTTTACCAACACTTAGTGTAATAAAAAATACCAAGAAGTATTCAGCAGGAAAACAATCAAATAGACCTACTTGAAACTCATCAACTCCTTTAAAGTTTGACTTATTAAATCTGGACTCGAGAATTCTGGAAAAAGTTGGCTTGGCTCAAACCAATTGCACACTCCTGAGAAAAGTTAATTGAAAACAAAATATCTGAAATTTATAAATCTTACATAATGGAGTGTTATAAGTTTAAAACGGCAGTGACATTGATTACATGATAATTTATTTTCAAACAATTAACTAGAAATGCAAAAACAATTCAATAGAACCTTTTATTTATAGGTATAAACAATCAATCCATATAAATTTGTACTTGTAAAATTGCAATAAATATCTATTCACTATCAAAAACATTGAAACAGGTACTGGTTGTGTTGAAAGCAAGGTGCAGTGATGCAGTTCACTATCTAAACCAAAATAGAAATTAGGACACAAATTACAAAACCCAAAGTTAGAACAATGATTGGAACACCAAAATAAACTACAAAAACCACATTGATCTCCCTACTGATTATCCGTAACTAATTTTCTGAATAATGAAATTTGGCAGTGGCTGCGCTCTTTCGAGCAGACTTTTTGCCCCTTCTCTTGTGATTACGTTTGCTGCTGCACGGCAAAAACTGCTTCGGATCCTCTTTTTGTCCGTCGTCTGATTCTGCCGACTCTGAGATATCCGACACTTCCGACACATCGCTGGACTCTGGCTCTTTCAACCAGATGTTATTTATCACAGACATATCACTTTCTCCCTCCGATTCTCCTCCGCTTTCGCTAAGTCTTCTTTCCATCGCTCGCTTTTTATTTCTTGTTTTTCGCTGATTCTTTTTTCTCTGTCCAAGGATACTGGAGTTCATTCTGCAATAAATATAGATTGATAAATAAAAGTAGAACATTTCAATAAGGACGATTACTAACAGGATTGTCACTTGTGTATATGTGTTATAAATATAAAAAAGCCTTAAATAAAACCTTAAAATATAGTATAACAAAGGGAAAAAGCCAGTGCCATTATCTTCAAATCTAAATTTCAAGCTAAGATCAAACGTCCAATTAACATTGCTATAGGCCTATAATTTTACAGCTGAGTCAAACTAGTTCCAACCAGGCGCGCACAATCCTACCAACCTTGATTGGATTACTTGACTTTTTCAAAATGGCAGATATACAGATACCAATAAATTTGTAATCAAAAACTTGATAATAGGTAAAGTGAGTTACACTATAAATATTTGTGTTGGGTACATGTTAAAATATAATGCTAGTTACTATATATTACACAATTATTTTGTAGTTCAATGTACTATGTTGTGTCATGCCATGGAAGGGTATAGGACATAAATGAATTATCTACTGCAACTGACTGTCCTACCTTCTTTTGGCTTTTTCTAACCACTGCTAACTAATTTTGTCTCATTAAGTGTCATTTTACCAGCACAATTCTTTAATGTTTTTATATTCAGGATAACAACATTTGTTGACATAAAATGACTTCCCTCCCAGTTTATAAAATAAACCTCTTCGGTAGACTAAGATTTATTAATATTTTTAACAACTCTTTATCAGTCAAATATTTAATTTTAGAGATTACAAACTGCTCAAAGTTCCATTTTGTACCCTGTAGCTTTTACACCTTATGTGATACTAGCTTGCCTTTCAAAAAAAAGTGGCTTGCATGATGAATCTCAAAGTTTGGAATAAACTTTGACATCTACCATTACTCATAAATTTGAGTAGTACTAGATCGAATCTAAAGAAAGTCCAAAATTTTCAACCATGCGGCTACTAATTACAAGATTATTATGAAAGTTGAAAATCATTACAATAGCTTTAAGGCTCTAATACAAATACAAAATTGATCTCAAGAGTGTAGTATAAAATACCCCCACAGCAGCAAACCTGCAGATTAAGTGAATTTCCACTATTCAGATTGGCTTTACACTCAAATATTTCCTTAAAACTAGAAGTTAAATTTATTTCCTTTCGAATAAATATTAGTAAAATAATCAAGGTTAAAACTTAGTATAAAATGAATAATATTGTCAAATTTAATCAAAACATATCCATAAGGAAACAAACTACAAAAGTTCAGATTCAGATCCTTTATTGATCACTAAACACAAATGTGCAATCAGTGGCGGTTCCAAGGGGGGGAGCGCTACAGGGGCTAAAGCCCCCCCCTTGGACCCTGGAAAAATAAATTTAAACGTACATTTCGTCCTTAAAAAACGCAATGTCATAAAACAGACATCTATGTAGTTTTTATTAAACTTAATAAGCGATGGCAGGAGTAGTATTAAGTTCCGCATAGATAAACTTTGTGGACAATATAGCACAACGAATAAAACAATATTACACTATGGAAAGTTTTACGCATCATTCAATTTTTACAGCAGTCAGCTGTTGACATGCTAGGGCAAAGGCGAGCGCTAAGCGCGAGCGAGGACGGGGAAACACCTGATTCCTGGTGTTCCATAGTTAGGTGGTCACTCGTTAGTTGTCATCAAATTGTCTGCTGGCCACTAACTTTACACAGGCATCAATCAGCAATCAGGGGTAGCACCAGATTGACTATATAAACACTAGTGTTAAAGTTTATATAGTCAATGTTATTACTGAATTCGGTACTAGACATTTTGTGACAGATCTATGAAATTAAGGTTAAAAACAAGTCTACTTGCTTGCATGACATATAACAGGTGAAATGGAAATTTTTAGTACAATTGGGCAGAGTTCTAGCCGTTAGAAATGGCTTTATAAAGTCACCAAACGGCTTTTAGGAGATATGGCTTCGTAGTCTACAGTAGGCCTATGTTTTGAAATTCATGAACACAAGTTCGTCATAGTTTGATTTTTAAAATGTCTACTTACAAATAACAGGTGAAATGGAAGGTTTTTGGACAGTTGGACAGATATAGCCATTAATAATGGCTGTAGAAAGTCAGTCAACAGCTTTTAGGAGGATATGGTTAGTTTTAAAAATGTCTACTTATTCATGACAAATAAATGGGGAAATGGGAGGTTTTGTACACAGTTCTAGACGTTATAACTGGCTGTAGAAAGTCACCCAACGGGTTTTAGGAGGAAATGGCCGTAGTCTACAGTGTGTTTTGAAATTTGTGAATGCATGAATACATGAATACTTTACCACTGCAATGAACTTTTGAGTATGAATTCGGCCACCATGGAGTGTAAATATTGTAAACATGAGTTTATTTCATTTTTAAAAGTAAATTTTATCTGACAAGATCAATTCAGACATCTGGTCAACGATCCCCAGTTGTATGGTAATGGTATTCCCTATATGAAAAATTTCCCTAAAAGTATATGGTTTCCTTACTAAATGAAATGAAAAAGTGCTTTATTGCTGCTTTTATTTACATTTCCAGATACCACGCAGGGCATCTGCCAAAATAAACACTTTAGGCATTGGCCGGAAGGGCCGTCGGCCAGGTTGGCAACACAGCAAAGTTACAATAACACTTAAAATAACCACAACATATATATACCTAACAAATAATCAAAATAATACGATAGACACTGAGAAAATAATAATAAGCTACTTGAACAACAACAATACAGTTAAATTTACGGAATAAAAAGAATATATGGTTTCCTTACTAAATCCCATAAACATACATATTTGACCATAACAGAATTCAAATTAAATTATAACTATGACTTATAACTTTAACTATATTATGACTATGACTAATAATTACCTGAATGTTTGAGTCTGTATCGCATCACTAAAGCGAACAGTTTTCTTGGGTTTTTCTCCATTTTCATCATTCCAAAAAGCATAGTCATCTGCACTTGACTCTGACAAACTTCGGCCTATCTTCAAGATTCCTCGACATTTACGCCGCTGCAATAAAGAAAAAAAATATTTGTGATGATTTCCATCTTTAGCCATGGTTGATCAGATATATTGCACAATCGAGAACAACTATTTCAAATTAGACAGGTTACTAAATTACTACTTTTGTCAGGCCTATTTTGTTGAAATACAATACTAGCACACCACTGGCAATGTACTTTAATACATGGCCGTGTCCAACAATCTTGCAATTAACTCCACTCTCCAATTAACTCGAACCACAGTCACCCCACGACAGCTAACACACATAATCAGCCACACGTTCTTATCATTATTGTTACGCTATGGCTACGTTACACCCATGCATGTACAGTAGACACCCTCTTATCCGGACTCCTCGGGACCGAGGCCAGTCCGTATAACGGGTTTTCCGGTTAAACCGACGTCCCCAAAAACTTGTTAAAACGGACTGTTTACTGTGATATTCGACTTAAATTTAGGAGAGCATTGTAGACACGTGATCACTGGTTTCAAATCTTTCCCACGAGAACAGTTGTTTCAGTACTGCCCACTTCCTGCCGATCAAGTCCGGTTAAACCAATGTGCTGATAAAAATTGTCCGGTTAAAGAGATGCCATTTTCGCCGAGTGTAGTCCGGTTAAACCGATGTTCGGGTAAAAGGTGTCCGGATAAGAGGGAGTCTACTGTACAAACAAATGTAAAGTTTGTTCATTCTATAAAATTTCTATGTATGTTAATTCTGATAAGGTCCATGCAAATTCTGATTTGCTTTAATTTGTGAGGCACTCTCAATAACAACAATGATAAAAAACGTGTAAGCATTAGAATTACACAGAAGCTCCATATGAGATAGTGCTACAGCTGGTCAAGTGGTCGGGATTGGGGCGTTGCCACATTTCCTTTGCCACATCCTTGTATAAGAAGAGGGGAAAGAGGCTGTGTTGTTCGTTAACCCTAGATTCTCCTGAACTGGTTTGTTTCAGTTATGGGGTTAAAACATCTCAATTTGTAATTCAAACTTTTCTCAATTTTTTTATCCTGATGGCAAACAATCAATTGTTTTTCTAGCTTTATTCACATTTCCATTACAGAGTGAAAATTTAAAAACGTACGTTTTCATGTCCCTGGCCTTTAACTTCGTAGATACTGGATTTGTAGTTTATTATTATGTGTTTTAATATTTTTTGGGACGGGTACAACATGTTACACACATTAATTTTGTTTTAAATAGGTCCTAGGTATTTTTTTTGTATTTTTAAAGTCTCGAAATTCACGACCATGACGTGTCCCTAGGGTACATTTTCCAACTTTCACGCTGTTTTCAAACTAATTATTCAAATATATTTCAATATATTTCAAATATATTATTGCCGAAATATATAAAGCCATATTTTTATGTCATCAATGGTTAACGTAAAAAACCACTTGAGTTATTTGATTATTAAGATATATTTAAATATTTGTGAGTCACTAACAGTAAAAAAAGTAAAAACTTATAATTCAGTTTAAGTAATTAGAATAGAAGTTCACATTGTGACATTTTGAAAAAAACATGTTTATTAAACTTACAAAAAAGGAGCATGTTATAGTTTTATTGTAATTGCAAACTGACTACCATGACAAAATAAGTCTGTCCCTCGATTTGGCGTCAAGACCATTTGGGAAAAATTTTCAACTTTGGAGCACGACAGTGGCAAGCCTGGCGTCGATGGAGTCAGTTGGTTTTAGAAACTAGTTCGGGGTGTACGTCAGGATTGTAGTGCCGGTCGTTTCGAGTTGAAAGGAGGAATTACAAGATTAATAAAGGAAAGATTGTGTTTTTTGTAATTTTGGTGTGTCCATGACCGTACGCAGTCATTCGATGAAGTAGACATGGTGTTAATTTTTGTTTATAAGATATTTCAATTGCTAGATTAACCTAGAAGTTCACTTTGTATCCTCGAACATGAGGTGCAGGGCTACCGCCAGAACAGAGCCAAATAACACATAATTTCACGACCAAAGTTTCACGACCATCGCGGGTTTTTTCACGACCAATCCAGCCTTATGGATTATAGTGTGTTTGGTCGTGACAATAACTTTAATATAATTGTAATTTGAACAATTTAGTTCAATTGAAACACTTATTTTTATTATAACTAACAGTATAATTAAAGGATTGTTTAGAAAGATTTAGATTATTTCAGAAAATTCACGACCGTACTGCTTGTCCCTGACCATCATTTTTATAATTTCTATCATAAAAATTTCAAAAATTAAAATATCATCATATTTCAATGTTTTATACACAAAAGAAGCACACCTCTATACAAACATAACGATTTTTCGGGTCTCAGGTAAGTTTTTTCGGAGTTATACAAACTTAAAATGATTTTATTGGTTTTTTTTCAATTTTTTGAGTTTTTTTATTTTTTTCTAGAAAGACCAAATATACCAAAAGCTCAGTGACCTTTTACTTTCTCCCCCTATACCATAGTATATGGAGAAAGTATTGTTTTCGTCAAAATTTTTGAGTTTGAGTTTTGAGTGGATATATTCGTTTTGGGTCCCCCTGGACCCAAAAAAGTGGTTTTCGAAGTGATGTCTGTGTGTGTGTGTGTGTGTGTGTGTGTGTGTGTGTGTGTGTGTGTGTTGGGGAATGATACATTGTGAGATCCGACGTATGGTTACACACCAACAACGTGAGCTCCGTTTTCAATGTGAGCTCCGACCCCCCGGAGCTCGGATTGAGAAAGCCTCTGATTCGATGTCCTAGTGACTTCGGCATCACGGAAATACCCGAAATAGCTCGAACTAGGTCGGAGCTCATTTTACTGCTTTTTACCAAAGTGTGCGAGTGTATAGCTTCATAAAATCGACACCACGTCGCGCTACGATCGCGTTTACACTCTTCGATGCACACCAACATGGTTCCACACAGTCAATGTGAGTTCCGCTATTGTTCTGACTTCCGCTCCGCATTTAGTTGTTTTCAGCGCGTTATTCTCGAATTTCTAGTGCCAGAACGCGATCCAGACTACTGTATATCCATGTCGTATTTATAGGCACTGAGGAGGGGGGAGGTAGCTTCGCCGTCAGCATAGCATTGTTGTAGTCTGTTGCGTTCTCCAGCTGTGTTTACCGCTGAAAATAAAATATTCTTTAATTTATGATAAGGATAAATTGCATAAACCAAAGCCTTTTCTGAGGGTATAGTAATGATTTCCCCGAGCAAAGCTTAGTACCCTGGTACTTATTTATTTTTTTCAAGTCGATCTACCAATTCTCCAAATCAGTAATCAATAGTCAGCTATCTTGAAACAGCTGTTCCGTCGTATGTTCTTTAAAATGCTTAATTGTATCCACAACTAACTGTTTACATTTCATTTCAGTATTAAGTTTTTTTTTTTAATTTTATTTCGGGACGTGATTTTTATTTCCTTCCCGATTGTTTGGGGTAAAACAACTAGGTTAAATATTATTGCAGATAGCAATAATATTGAAAACAAGCATCGTACTAAAAACAATTCTGTATAAAAATTAAACAAGTACAGTAACAAGATCTGTTGTTGACTAAACAAATTTAATTTTTGGTTCAATTAACTATGAAACATAAATATAATTATAAAACACCAAATGCTAACCTTATATAGACATTTAACGTGAATACGACACGAATACAACTACATAAAAAAACTTGAGTAAAGTCTTAAGGCCTGATATATGGTTACTTGTAAAACAGCAGTAGAGTTTAATCAGGCAGGCCCAATCCTAAATATTTTAACATGTGCCTATCACAATGTCATTATTTTTGCATGACTTTAATCCTCAATTGTGACATCATTGTGAAGATCTCCCGTGATGACGGAGCCACCGTGACCATGTTCGCGGCGCTATATTCAGTTGTCCAGGCGTCTCAGCAGTCAACACATCTCGTAATCTCGGCGCCTGATCCACAACCATAGATCTCTATATAATACAACAAATCTGTATTATATATATGTCCACAACACGCCCCACGCTCGCGGCCGGATCGTCAACGTGTCCCCGAATGTCCCGCGGTCAGAGCACCATCGCTTGTGAGCACGGTGCCATCATCAACATTACCCGCGTTCACGGCACCATCGCAAACACTTCCCTCGCTGCCCACGCTCATGGCGCGATCGTCAACATGTCTCATGGTTGTGGTACCATCGTCAAAATTTCTCACGGTCGTGGCGTAATCATTGACATGTTTTGCGGTTACGATGCCATTGTCAACACGTCTCGATTATGTCTCCGGTCACGGCATTATCGTCAACATGTTTTGAGGTCATGGTACCAACGTCAACATGTCTCATGGTTCCAGTGTTATCGTCAACGTTTTTGCGGTCATGGCGTTAACCGTCAACGTATCTTGCACTCACGGTGCCATCGTTGACATGTCTCGTGGTCACGGTGCTAACTTCAACATACCTCGTGCCACAGAAAACATATTAAGAACGTTTTCTGTGCTCGAGGTTACTTTGCCAGGATAAATATCTCCCGCGATTACGGATACATCATCGTCTCCTAGGTCCGCCGAACCATATCGTGAAATTCTCTCGCAATCACGGAAGTGTCATCATCGTCACTCGCGACGCAGCGAATCCTTATTTTATCAAAATATACTTGACTATTTTAAAAACAATAGCTTCAACTTCGTGTGGACTTTATAGCCTCCGATTTATTTTATACAACCTTGAATATGGGCGAATTTCTCTCGTTTGTATTATAACGCAATAACACAATATGTTTTATTCTTAATTCGGGAACAAACCACGACTAGCTACCTCTAGTAAGATATAATCGTAGGCACCTGGTACAAAGTGTTCCACATATTGTTTAATCTAAGCAAACTCATAAACATTCAGTACTTGGAAAGGTAAAGGAAATATGAGTGAGCAGAATACAGGAATGTCCCGTTAACACGTTATTCACACGTTACTCCAAATGGACTTCATAAGCAATTTCTTAGATTTTCCTTTTGCAACAGGTCATCCCAGTTATTGGAGTGTCGGGTCACTCGG